TAAACTGATTTACTGTTGTACTAACGTGATACAATCAAGTGAACGGGTTCCGTTATGCCATCAATTTCAAAATCTGATATCGGGGAAGTAGTTGTGTTCAATGCAATAGTCTATAGCACTGGTGCCCAGACATTTATGCTTTACGGACATAATGAAGGATTGCGATCCCCTTGGTTGTCTTTATAGATTGGTATTTATGGATCTTGCTCGAATGAAAAAATCGTTTAAAATAAACGACGCAGACTATCGTGGTCTCTTTACTCTGATGACGTCTAATCGAGCCGCCGACAGCACCACGAAAGCCAGTGTCACTATGCTTACCACTCACGTTGCGCTCGTGAGATCTATCGAATTGATCCAAGAGACGCCCGTTTGGACATCAAACAAACCCGAAAATTAAAGTGCCATAGGACATTATAACGAGGTTCTTAAATAATCTTCTTTATAGTATAGGCTTCGTCGAAAGGCTTAGCGGACATTCAAAAGTTGGCCTTGCAAAACTGAACTCGGATAAATAATGTTAATCTATCGATGTGTCACCTGTGCTTGCACGCGCGACAAATTAAGCGGGTCCACTAGCTGCACGTGACGCATCACCACTTGCAACTGAAACGACCGACGTTGCCAGCTACACAGTATCACGCAAAGAAAACTGGCATTAGTCTTGGTATATAAAGATCTCTTGGCGGCTACACGCATTTTTGCCGCAGCATTCTTCGCAGCTCTTGATGCACACTGCATAATAATGCTGACTATTTGGTATTAATCGAAGCGGGTTGGACTCGGCAAGTATGTGCTTCTTACCTGTAAGGTGATACAATCGAGTTATACTCTGTAACCAGTCAGTCATAAATAAGTCATTAAGGTGGCTAATAATAGGAGGGACGATGCAACAACATGATCGTTTTACATGTCATTAGCATATAACATTTGAATGATCTATCTTAATTAGTAGTATTCATTAACATACATTGCTCTTTAAATGCTTTGGATCCAATGCTGTCAAAAATGATATTATGCACCGATTCCCTTATTGGTCGACAAAGCCATCATGTTAAAGAACTATATAACCAATCGCTGCTAGACGTGCGCAATAGGTAGAAAGTAGGTCGCCGATTTGACGATTTTCAGGTTACTATTTTTGAAGTAAGACCAAAGAAACTCATATCAGGAGTCTTTAAATTCAGTGGAATAAAGCCAAACTATTGAATTACTTCATTTTATCATTCGTGTTCGTCTAGTAGATGTATTTTCACTGCTTTCAATGCAGACGTTTAAGTTACCGGCACAAATTTACATTGTAGTCTGTATAGGTAGCTTGAACTAGCAGGTATTAGCAGATATACACCGTTACAGCAACTTCGTACTAATTATTTGTTCGTTATTCTATTTGCGCATGTCGCCACGCTTTCCTTTATCCTCGGTGTATTGTTTTGCATTCAGCATACTTGAGCCTACGGTATTATAGCTGACAGCGTATAATATAGGTAGTAGACGCCTAACAGCCAACTAGGGCTTGAAACGATTCATATGTCATTTCTTCTTAAACGTGATTAGGGATACCGCCACGAGCGGCCAGCACAAAGAGACCGTTTGTCGGGTACAACCTTTGTAAATGGGTCTGTAAAGTGTCTTGGCGTTGCTAATTTAGTAGGGAGCTAATCCCCTATATACCCCGACCGATGATTGGAGATCCGCTACGTTGTTGAACCCCGCCACATCTCCAGATCCAAGTCCTTGTTCGTTCTTAAAGGAAGGCCGAGCACTACACTCAGTTTTCCGATACATTGGACGTGCGATACTACACTCATCTTCCGCGACATTGGGCGTGCGACAATACACTCACAAGCGTAGTGCTCTATCTTCTAACAGCCATTGAACCTTCGCAATCGCTTGTTCTACGAATTTAGGTCGCCGCTTTCAACAAAACAGATTTCCATGAGCTCAGGGTATCCAATTACATTTCGTATCGGTGTATGATGGGATGATGCGTCAACATGAGCTTGTCTCAAACTACATTCCTTCTCCTTCGTCACGGGATCGCTTGGTCAAGCGTCTCCATTTCCAGGAGGAGGAAGTTGTTTCTGACGAGACCACCCGCAAGAATCTTGATGCACAGTAATCAGGGTTGGTTACCATCGATGATATGGGCTTCTTTCCACACGATACAACTCACCAGATATCGTGGGTGATAATCGTACGCGTTTACACAACGCTTACCTGCTTCAAATGAAGAAGCTAGGATTGAGCCTAGATTCAACACACTACAGCTCATACGTTGTCTAAATCGATACTTGAAGGTGCCATACGACCCAAATATATATGGGTCGTGAAGCCTGATACCTACAAACCAGGTTTAAACACATTCACCTAAGTTGGACACACAGGACTTCCCCTTTATCGCATCGTATTCCATGGACGAGCTTCGATGGAGTCATCCAGTTCGTCGGACCGTCTCACATTAAGGTTTTTCGTTTGACTGCCTTGAAAATGGCGATATCAATCTTCAACCTCTCATTTCGACGAGCATGTGTCGGACCGCCATCAGGACCTTGATGGCATAGCAGGCTTTTTATTATCTCTTCAGCCGCCAAATTCATGTAGCATGAACGTGGACATCGTGGCACGTTGTTCGTCGCTCGTTCCAGCGCGACAACATGAAGCTCACAGACGAGCCGCTAACGGCGGCAGAGCTTATTTATTTGAGCAAAGATCGTTCATTATCAATTGAACGGATAGATTCTTCACACGTAGTGTGAAAGCTGTTCTCATCCTCCACTTCCATGATGGACGAGTCCACGACTGTTAGACAGACCGTAAAACGACACCTATTGTTACGGGACAACACTAGCTTTTATTGACACAGTACAAGCTACCTACACTGACGACAACTCAGGCAGTTTCCTTGAAAAATTACGTACACATAGGGGGACTTGGAATCTTATTTTATAATTGAAACACATTATACTAGGCGATAAAAAAATTACAGTTCGTCCATATTTAGCATCTATAGTAGTTATGCCGCTCGTTGACTTTATCGAAATGCAAACGCAATCTTGTAGCTACCTGCAAGCCACTCATTGCGCGTGTCCATCTATGGTTGGATCCATAGTTTGTTGATGGCTTACATCAGCCAACCAGCAGAAATCACCAAGAATGTTGGGTAAATTTATAGTCACGAATATTGCCGATCATATCAAAACTAACGAATAGCCCCTTCTAAGTTTTATATTAGGTAGATACGTTTAGAAGTTATAACCAAGAACATAGTCCACCACGACAGCATTTGCTTTGACATTCGTTCTTGTCAATATCTGCGTTTGGTTTGCGCCGACACATCATTCCCGTTTTAAACATCAATATAACATCTCTGCTTTCAACTCGCTGAAAAGACCTTAAAGGTTGCTCGAAATTCGGACCGACATTACTGCGACAATTGTCGAAAGTAGACAGCCACACATCGCAAACTGATTCGTGCTAGAAACTTATCGACGTCGATCGAACATCAGGACTAAATTAATGCGACGAGCTCACCCCGTTTTAACTGCCGGAACCTCAAAGACGGATGGATCGTGAACACAGCCAGTTGAGTGTAGCTCGCCGCAGTGAAGACGTCGACTCTGGTCATTTATGAGTTTGAGTCACAATGCCGCGGGCAAAAACGAAAGTGGCTTCGAACCTGACCCGGGGGCTACGATTCGCTCGAAAGTAATTGGAAAAAGTTGCGCAAACCAAGTTGAGTTTGGTAATCGATTGCAAAATGAAGTATACGACCTGGGAGCGGTGGTCATTGACGCGGCAGAGACTTTCATTGCTGTAAAATGTATATTCCGTCGCGACATGGATGGAGAAAATTGTATGTTCTCGCGGACCGCAACACACGTTTGTGCTGATGGAAGGCGAGTACATCGAGCGGCTTCACACTCGAACGTCGGCGAACGCAGTCGTGTCACTAAAAATAAGTACGAATGTGAGATCTTCGCAGTGGTTTGGCGGCGGCATATGCGTATCGCAAAAGGAGGGTCTCGAACTGTTGGACGAGATAGCAGCCCCACGAGGGTACTACATTTCCAATTTGTTTGGATCTCACAGTAGCGAGTGCTGCAATCAGCTGGGCTGCACGTTTGCCTGTGACTCGATCGTCTCGAATCGACCCCATTCGGGTGACTTTGAGTGACAAACAGTCAAAGACAAAGGCAATTTCTATCAAAATGACAAGCGCCGATTGTAGATTGTTAAGCTACAGCCAGAAAAGCAGCATCCATAACATTAGACGCCTGACACGAACGCGTCACACCCGATCATCACACATTTACTCTAATCAATGGACTTCGGTCGACGAAGCAACAAAGATCGATGTGGTCTCGATCTCAAATGCAGGCGTCCATCGTGTATCTTTTTTCTACAGCCATGACAAACTCAGGGAAGTTGTCATTACGTCTGATGATCGCTTACAAGATATCTCCATTGTCACAAGCGAGTAGTATATTCGATACCTGAGGGACCGCGATGTTGGTCTCGGCCCGAACGAACATTTGCTCGAACTACTTGCAGACGAGCAGATCAAGCGCATTGATCTGTGTAATTCATCTTCAGCGTTAGTTGGTCTCCGCTTTAAAACGACAAGGCGCACTACTCAATGGTTTGGCAGCGCCGACTCGGACTTGCTCTCTTCTCTCGTCGGTCTAACAAGCGATGAAAGCTACGCGTGCGGCTTCTTCGGAATTCGAAATGCCAATGGTATGCGCTCCATCAGCGCAGTGTGCCATTCAACGACTCCACCAATTGATACCAGCAAAGACGTTGTTATGACGCGAGAGCATTGCAGGTTGGTGTAGTGCACGAGAAATAGGAGAAATTGTGCCATGAAGGTTTGTTCTTTTTTGCATTTGGATTATAAGCTGGCTCCGTTTTTGTATCGTACTTACCTGAATATACATGATTTCTTTCTCTTTTGGGCAACGATTTCATCACTCTCCATCAGAACAGCACTTGTCGCCATGGAGAAGAGCGAGCTGCGAGTGCGGTGGCTCGTGCTGTTCCTATCCTGCTTACTCATGATCGGCAATTACTACTGCTTCGACAACCCCGCGGCGCTCAAGAGCCAACTACAACAGCACTTCAACGAGATCCCGAAAGACCGCTACGAGTTCCTCTTTGTAAGGAGCTGCCGTGATCCGAAATATATTCTGCAACTCGCATCAACTGATACTAACTGTCGATTTGATTCCTTCCAGAACTTACTCTACACGTTGTACTCGATCCCCAACATCTTGCTACCGTTCTTCGGTGGTGTCTTGGTGGACAGATTCGGTGCACGCGTGATGCTGTTTGCCTTCTCGACGGCAATTTTAATGGGACAAGTGATCTTTGCAACGGGCTGTTCGCTCTCTAGTTTTAACGTGATGCTGGTGAGTCAGATGGTGCTCTAATTGTATGAAAAGTGCAGAGGATATGACGTGTTTGTTTGCTGTCGTAGTTTGGCCGGGTGATCTTTGGGTTTGGTGGGGAGAGCTTGGGAGTCGCTCAAGGGACTCTTGTTGCCTCATGGTTCAAAAACAGTGAGCTAGCCCTGGCTTTAGGCATCAATCTCAGTGTGGCTCGGCTTGGAAGCGTCATCAATAATGAACTTAGTCCAGCCGTTGCGCAAGCGTCAAGTGTGTCCACGGCGTTGTGGGTGGGTGTGATCATGTGTCTCGCATCAACGTCCACGTTACTTCTATTGACTCCAATTGATCGACGGGCTGCGAAACTGGAGATAAAGAGTCAGAACGACCGAACGGCTAGTGCCGAAAGCATTCGTTTCAGTGACGTCAAGCACTTCCGTCCAGCCTTCTGGTTTCTGGCATTGAGCTGCTTGGTGGTGTACGGCTGCGTGATTCCCTTTAACAACGTTGCTAGTAGCCTCTTGATGGAACGCGACTTCTTCAAAGAACCGTCTGAGCCGTGCCGGCGATGCGGTGAGGGACTATACATTTACGAAATCGACTGCAAACACATAGCTCCGGGATGTCCTAGCGTTCCTCCGTACGGCTGGCCGCTACCCTTGCTATCAGCAAATTGTACAATCAAGGAACCCTTCGATCAGTGGAACTGCTCGACGTCGCCGCCGCTGATTTTTGGCGACAAGATTAACTGTGACGACGAGGCATGGAAGCTTGGCCCATTGACAAAGATGTATTGCGCCGCAAAAATGGACGCGGCTCAGAAAGCTGCTACCCCAATGTCGATTCCATACATCATCAGCGCTGTCATATCCCCGTTTCTGGGGTTCGTGGTTGATCGGGTTGGTCTTCGCGCCTTGTTGGCGCTGATAGCCCCTCTAGCACTGACAGCAGTCCACGCTATGCTCGGATTGACTCAAGTTACTCTGTACGTCCCGTTGGTGCTGCAGGGAGTGGCCTACAGCGTATTCGCCGCGGCATTATGGCCCTCTGTTCCATGTACGTGAAGTTTGCACTTTGTTTTGCCTTGACATCGGCACTAAATTACGACTTACGTACGGTGTTTTCTTGTCATACGCAGACGTGGTCGAAGCAAAGCACGTAGGAACGGCATACGGAGCAATTACCGCTATCCAGGTACGTCAGATGGTGATTGGTGTCCTTGCATTTCTTCCTACAAGTTGAGGGCTGCACGCTGAATTAATTTTGTGATCCCGAAATGTGGTTTTCGAATGCCGTTTAGAACGTTGGACTCGCATTGTTTCCTCTGGCTGTCGCAGCGCAGTTCAATCACGACGGCCATTATATCCCAAGTGTGGAGCTGCTCTTTGTATCGTTTGGAGTGCTGGGTAGTCTCGTGGGCATCGCGCTCAACGTCGTGGACTATCAGAACGGGTCCATCCTGAATCGCGCGAAAGTGACTAAAGAGTCGCTGCCACTGATGTTGGACGAGGACGCGCTCGATAGCGAAGGTCTGTTGACTGCCGAGCACTAGTGGATTTTGGCACTAGATGCACATTCGGCGACTTGCTTCGTGCGTGCGTGACGTGGCGATGACCTGAATTATGCGATGAACGACCCGGACGTTCGAATGAAAACGTATCTTTCCTCGTGCTCGTGGTGGAACGCAAAAAAAGCTTGGTAGTATACTGAATTCACACGTCACTCGAGTCAAAAGCGGTGTATTTTATCCTGGTCCAAGTAACCGAAGCTACGAAACCCACGACATAAACCTGTTATAGTCGTTCCGATCGTAAGCGCGTGCAATTGTTCAAGTCTTTCGCGTGCGGCCCGATATGTTAATTCGAAACTCACGTGCGCGCACCATTTAATCGAGTGTTGAGCTCATCGCGAGTATCCACTACACTGCAAACGCAAAGCTCAGCTCTTGCTGGGAATGATGCCATCCGTTAGTGATTGAGTCGACACTGGCGATGCCCAAATCGATTCGAACTCGTCTTTGCGGGAGCTTCAAAGCTTAGTGCAGATCATCTGCAGCGACACAGACGATCGGTACCCATGCTCTCCCACAACCCCAAAACGAAACGCGATCGATTGATCAGTCGTAGCACCGACGCGAAGTGTGGAGCAACGGTGCGCTTTTCTTTCTTTCGTGTAGCAAGTGCCAGTTTTCTATCGCCTTAGCAAAACCGACGACAGTGACTTGCATCGTTTTTCATGTGACCACACTCGGACACCGGCAGACATTGCACAATACGATGTAGCAATCAATGCGAGAAGTAACAGTTGCTAAAAAGAGGTCGCCTATTCGGACGACGGCACGTTGTGTAACGAAACTAGAATCAGGATGTCTAGCGACGGTCATGACGCGTCCCGTTCCACCGCAAAAGAACCGCAGATGGCTCAGCAATAGTCGGAGGTGAGGCCATTGTACTGACGACGACGAAAGTTTGTAACAACAGTCATCTATCTTCCAATCGACAGCTGCTGCAATTACTCACGTCGACCAACGCTGGGCAAACCCTCACGCACGTTTAGCTTCTCCCGGTACTGCACGCACCGGGAACGTGCACGCGTCCTCTTGTCGTCTACTCAACTTTCATGTACATGTCGAGACCTTCCAGCCCCAGTCGATGTGAGATCGACGGTGGCTGGATAGTGGCTATACCTCGGGGCTTTGGTGGCATGACGTTGTCGAAAACTAAAACCTTCGACCCGCGTGTCAATAGCGTGGGCCATGAGCCAACTGCCGCTTTGTGAAACGGGCGGTGCACACCCCACCCGCAGTGCGTTCGAGTGCTGCGGATCAATCGATCGATCGATCAATCGAGCGGTCGGTCGGTCGGTTGGTTGGTCGATTGTCCGTTTGTTTGTTTGTTTATCCACTGGATGAGGCGGGTCTCGCATCGTGCCTTTGTGAGGCTGTTCCAGAGTCTCTGTCATAACCGATCCCCACGCAGGGCTCAAATCGTCCTCCCGACTCTCCCTCCACTGACTCTCTCTCCCCATCGTGACCCGCCACAAAGCGAAGAACAGCCGAGAGGAGAAGAAGCCCCGCAGCGTCCAAGGACGCCGACGCCGACGACCCGGTCGTTCCTCCGTAGCCCGTCCGCCACTCCCTCCGTCGTCTCGCGCGGTACCCCTCGGCACGCGCTTCGCTCGTGTGCCCACATCTTCTCGCACTCGCTTCTGGTCGTCTCGACCGTCGGCACCGGCAGTCAGCATGGACGCGTACGAGCAGATCCGCATCATCGGCAAGGGCTCGTTCGGCGTCGTCACGCAGATTGTGCGCAAAGCTGACCGCAAGGTGAGGGCAGACGCGACACGCGGAGGACAGGGGGGAGGGCAGAGCGGGTGCGCGCGAGAGAGAGGGCGAGACAGTTCTCCCCTCACTCGCACCCACGCGCCCGTGTCTGGATCTTGGGGGTTCAATGAACTGACGCGTTTGTCTCGATTGTGTGTGTGTGTCTGTATCTACTTGTCGACGGGGTGTATCCATTTGTTGTACGTGACTGGGTGGAGAGCAGATGCTCGTGTGGAAAGAGGTCAACTACGGAGCCATGAGTGAGAAGGAGAAGCAGCTCATCGTGAGCGAGGTGCGTCGATAGTGGCTGCTACTGCTTGTGTCTCCTGTGTTGACCGAGTGATGAAGCTGACGGTGTGTAACTGCTATTTCGACCGATGGCCCCCTCTGTGCTTGGTCAGGTGAACATTCTGAGAGAGCTGCGTCACCCGCACATTGTCCGCTACTTGGACCGAGTGATTGACAAGCAGGCGACCAGGATTTACATTGTCATGGAGTACTGCGAAGGCGGTGATCTTGGCCAGTTCATTAAACGGAAGAAGCGGGAGGGGTACGCTTTTGTCTCTCGATGTAAACGGGTTGGTCACACGTGATGACATCTCAAGTTGCTTGCTAACTTGTTGATCTGACGGTTTGACAGGTCCTACATTGAAGAGGGCTTTATCTGGCACATTTTCACGCATATCTTTTTGGCTCTGAAAGAATGTCACCGTCACCGCGAAGGCAATGTCGTTCGTCCCATTCTCCACCGTGACATTAAACCCGGCAACATTTTTCTAGACTCGAACGTGCGAAGTGTATTGTACTGCGGATGCTGTTGGGGATGTTTGTGGGTCTCTGACAGCTATTTTTGGTATGACCTAGAACAACGCGAAGCTTGGTGACTTTGGTCTCGCCAAGGAGCTGAGCAGCGAGTCTCGTTTTGCGCAGACGAACGTGGGAACTCCGTACTACATGAGCCCAGAGATGGTGAACGAGATGACGTACGACGACCGCTCTGACATTTGGGCACTGGGGTGCTTGCTGTACGAAATGGCTACTCTCGGCCCTCCTTTTGACGCAACCAATCAGTTGGCACTCGCCAAAAAAATCAACGCGGGCAAGTTTACGCGCATCCCGTCGCAGTACTCGGAGGGTCTATTCCAGGTCATTCGATGGATGCTTCATCGACAGCGCTCTCGACGACCGAGAATCGAAGACTTGGAGCGTGTGCCACAGCTGCAACAGAGATTACGCGCGTACTCGGCAGCGAATGCGCCGCAACCAGCTGCTGATCCGAATTTGCAGACGTCGTACAACCAGAAGATGAAAGAGCTTTTGGGCATTGAGGAAGACCTTCGTCGACAAGAGGCTGCTCTGATGGCTCGTGAAAAGAAGCTGAAAGGTGAGAAATGTTTGATGCCTGCACCTGTGTAATGTGCCGAATCTGATGCGAACAATTTGTGGTGGGTGTATAGAGCTGGAGGTAGACTATATGCGTCGTGAGAGCGAACTGAAGAAACGCGAGCAAATGCTCGAGATGATGGCGCGATCGGTGTCTAATAACGCATCAGCTAAGGTCGGATCCCCAACCATGTCGGATGACTCCAATTCGAGTGCAGATAACACCTTTGGCCAAGGAGGTCCTCAGAGCCCTAAACGACGGGGGGACGTCAATGGCGGTAGTCCTTCTGCTCGTGGCGGTCTTCACTCGTCAGGTGATTTGAATGCGAAAGTCGCGCCAGAAGAGGTCCAGATAAGATCTCAGCGTGGCGGGGTGTATCCTGCCAAAGGCCAGAGCAGTCCTTACTATGGTTCAACAGGCGATGCGAGCGCCACGCCGTCGACAGCGAACCGACTCCGTGATGCCCCCGAGCAAGTGGCAAACTTGGTACGACTTTGTTCTGTTGTTTTGGAGGTTGATGCCGTAGCTTACTTTGTTCGTGTGGACAAACAGATGAAGGGCATGTGGAAAAAGGGCAATTAGGGTGGTGTCAAGCAGCCCAAGGCCAAACGTGGGAACCTGCAAGCACGACACCAGTTGGATCTAGTTTGTGAATGGGAGCTTGAGCACAGGCCAGGGCAGCGTAGGGGCTGCGGTGCGACACTAACGTATTATCTGCATGTGTTTCGGTGTAACCACTCGAGAATGAAGGCGATGATATAGTGAACACACGGCGAATGTTTGTCGACTTTTCACCCTTCAAGCACGACCCGTCGGCGCCGTCAGTATTTGTACAAGATAAACGACCAAAAATCATCAAGAAAAAAGCGAGAGCACGGGACCTAATCGCAAGGCCGTGACAGGCAAGCGTAGCGCCCGCGAGGACTAGATCAGCACCAATAGAGAGCCTGGGCATGTGCGGAGGACTGACTAGGACAAAAGCCGAGGGGAAACTTTTGATCCGGTGGTCGCTTACGCAGGGAAAGGACAGGAAGAGGTAGGAAGGAACTACAGTAAAATGATCATTCTTTGTCACGCTTCGGCCTTGCACGAGTTGTCACACGAAACGCTCGACACAAACCGTGTGGTGTTGTTATCTACGTCGCTTCGTTGTTGTGTCCTGTTGTCGATCGTGCAGATACGCACTGACGATGTCTCTTGATGATGGCTACTTTGTATTCCCACGAAGCACTCAGTACCTACTCACGCTGAGCGTTAGCCTCCTTTACCTCGGCACGCATTTGTAACAACGCTTCTACTCGCGTCCTACAAATTGGACACATACTGCAGCTCCTGCTTATTGTCTCCGCACACATGCTGCAGAGACACATGTGGCGGCAGGGCAAAATGGTCGTGGTGCGCGGTTCGCACAAACAAATGATGCATTCGGCTTCTTGGGGTAGACCGGTCCCAGCACTGGCAGCGTGACTCGTGGTAGTCTTGTGATTCTCAGCCACATCGTTTTGCTCCATTGGAGGCGCTGTATCTACCGATGCACTGATGCCGTAGATCTCCTGCAGTTCATACGTCAGCCCGTCCACCTGCCGGCAAATGGCAAAAAACTTAGTCGGCAAGATATCGAGTCTCAACGCAGTGCTTTTTGTACCAGAACTTTCTGCTTGAGCAATCTGACGTTCCAGTTGTCTTCAGCTGTCTGGAAAAACGAGCAGAACGTCGACTGAGACTGGAGACATTCACCTGTTCGCAGTATTTGCAAAGCGATGAACATCAAGAACGACCACGACATCCAGCTGCAACAACTTACGTTCCGAGTCAACTTCAAGCACAATAACTAATGGGAATTGCGTCCCATTGGCCTGATAGATTAGCTCATCGGTGTCGTAGACGGAGAAATCCAAGCGCGACGGCGGGCACTCAAACCCGTCGAGGTCCTTTTCGATCCTCTTTTCTTCCTTTCCATCGCCTCTGAGCACAAAGGTCTGTCCCAATCCTCGAGGAAAGTGCTGCGTCAGAATTGGGATCTTGTCTGCATGGACCAAAGAGATGCTGGAATTCCCACTACGAGCTGCAACGGTCTCCACTGCCACGACGTACACGCGGATCCGACACGGCTGAGTCGCGTCGAACTGGAATTCCAGTGCGTACTGCGACGGGTTTGTGGACGACCGTCGAAGCTTCAGACTTTTCTTCTCGAGGTTCACGTGGTTCTTCAATGAGCACGTTTGGTGGAGTTCCGGAAGCCCAGTGGACATGGGGACTACTCCGTCATTCGTCATAAACGCCATGTCCGGCCTTTCACGACTCATCGACAGTGCCTGTAGTGGCACCGGTGCGTAGCTTCCGCGTGCTGCTGTTGCTGCACCTGTCGGTTCTTCATCCAACGTCCCTTCCGTCATGCGGGGCTGCCACCGATTGGTGCTAGCTGAGTGACCCATCAATGAATGACGATAATGTAAAAGCTGCGGTCCGGTGAGACGCGCCGCTGTCGTTGCTTTGTAGTGTATCAATTGCTACTTAATAAAGTTCGAGTCGTGTAGCATTTTATTGTCAGGAAGCAGCTGAGCTGTGCGACGACCGACGAAAGGACGTGAGCGGAACAAGTGAATCAGTTGTCTCCGCTTCCTTCTACACCACTATCTGTACCTTTCTGGTCGAACATGCAGCGTTTGGGCTACATTGCAGCTTTTGTCCTTCTTTCCATAGCGCGTCATTGACGTCGACAATAGGCACAATGCGAAAGTGGGCGTAAACTCCTACTAGCAGCATCGGGTTTGTTACAAGTGCAACAACAACGACAAGTGTTTTCACGGCGATGATGTCCTCCTGTACATGTATAGCAATACTTGTCTTGGCAGCTTCATTGCGAGTGACCCGGTAAATAGATGGAGCCGCGACCTGTTCGCATTGTAGTCTGCAACAAACTCTGCACGTTTCCTACACGGCCTTAACCTCGAAAAATCTTTGCCGCAGGATTTGGGGCCAGGCATTGCTTTTACTGGCGTCCAACCGAACTTTGGATAGTATTCGATGCGCTGCGTCCATAGTGGCTACTGTATCCACTCGCACTAGTCTTGGCGGGCAACACGCGAGTGACACGCTTCCGACAAAGACACCAACAACAGCCAGTCAATGCACTCTTTGTTTCATTCAATCGCGAATGCTTCCTGTGGCAAAGTAGCAAACGGTTCTCCCGCTTTTCCATTCTCAACCTCATCAAAGACCCGTTTACTTACTCAATGCCTCAATCGCTCCCTTCTTGACGACAGGATGCAAGGATAGCACGAACCGCTTAGTACCGCAGCCAGTACGAGCGACGACGAATGAAGTTGTAGTCCGGCAGCTCGTGAATAGGACCGATGGCAGCTAGAGCATGCTCCTTGTCGTTAATGACCTCGTCCGCTGTAAGACGGACAGCCGCAGCATCCACGGCATCAATGCGGGCAAAGATCTCTGCGGGGGTCATGCGGCGGCCGTACGTCAGCATTTGACGGCCAATGTCCTCGCAGATGGGCGACGAACCGTCCAGCTGCATTAACATGTTGGCCTTCAACTGCACCTTCGCACGCTCAACTTCATCGTCCGTAGTCTTGTGCACAAGGCGAACCAGTGCCTCCATCGTGTACCACGTCAGGTCGTTCAGCTTGTACTTGTCAGCAACAGCGTACACACCAAACAACCCCGTGTCCTGGTAGCACGTGTTGAACGACATGTACGAATGGGCAAGCTCCTTCTCTGCAACGACCTGGCCCAGCTTCGACGACATGTTCATGCCAGCGCCCGAAGTGCGGTCCCAGCTGCCAAGCAACGTCTGCATGATCAGCAAGGGGAACGAGTGCTCGCTGGTCCAGCTGAACCCTTCAAACGCAAGAGCAACGTGGGCCAGAGGCATGCTGTCGTCCTTCACGCGCACGTCCGAGCCCACAAAGCGCACAGGCTCCAGCGTAGGGGCCACGGCCGGCGTCGTCGGCAAATCGCCAAACGACTTCTGCGCGAGCTCCACCAGCTGCGAGTGGTCCACAGCACCCGCACCAGCAATCACCATCCGCGGGGCCGTGTAGTGCGTGGCAATGTAGTCCTTCAGGTCCGATTGCTTCAGGTTTTGAATCTAGAGATCATCCATCGTCCATACACAGTCAGTCAAGTCCGTCAGTCCCGCCGACTTGCGTCCCCTGTACCCTTAGGGCACACGACAGTTGCTGTTCTACCAACGTACGTTCTCCGTCGGGCCCAGGATCGTGCGGCCCAGGCCGTTGCCCATGAACGCCGTCTCGTGCAGACGGTCAAACACCACTTCCTCCTGCTGCTTGTTGACCTCCTCCATCTCGCGCAGAATGACGTCGCGCTCGCGCTCGATCGCCGCCTCGTCGAGCTTCGAGTGCTGCAGAATGTCGCTGAGGATGTCCATGGCCCGGGGCACGTCCTGCTTAAAGACTTTGGCGTAGTACACCGTCTGCTCGCGGCTCGTGTAGGCGTTCAAGTGGCCGCCCATGTTCTCGATCTCGAGCTCGAGCGCGTGCTGCGTGCGCCGGCGCGTGCCCTTGAACGCCATGTGCTCGAGAAAGTGCGCTGCACCGTTGTTCTGCGCCGTCTCGTAGCGGGAGCCGGCGCCGATCCAGACGCCGACGGTCGCTGTCTCGCCGTGCGCCCCCTCAGAGGCCACGCGGAGTCCGCTGGGCAGCGTCGTGACCTCCGTGGCGGGCGCGTTCAGCACGTAGGACGGGTAGGTGGCCACGGCAGCGGCGACCGACGACTGCGCGCGCGCGAGCGACGGCGTGTGGCGCGCGAGGCGCAGTTGGGTCAGCATGAGGGGCGGCGTCGTGTCACGTGGAGGAGGGGGAGAGAGCGTGGGGCGAGTGGCCGCGACCGCACGTTTGTTATGGGGTGGGGCGACAAAGAGCTTTTGGGACTTTTGGAAAACCCAACCGGAGCGGCTGGTCGCGCTGGAACATTTGAGACGCTATTGTACGAGTGGACAAAAAAGGCTTTCGCCAGTTTGGGTTTTAGCAGCAGAGGACCAAAAACAAGTCGGGGAGGGAGCGCCTCGTCGTGTGGCAGGTCGCAGAAGTAACCAGGTGTGAAGTAGGTTTACGAGGGGAATAAAGCAGCTTCTTTTTTGGGTGTGCCATGTTTCGTGCTGACGAATCGAGCGATGCGGTGGAAGAACGCATTGATGAATATTGCGAGCGAAATATGTCGCAAGCAATTTGGGAAGACGCTTCCCTTGATATTTTACGACAAACGAACATTCTCTATCGAGCACAACGCACATAATAAGCACCACAAAAACCGAAGACTGCCATCGTATTTGTCCCATCGTCCGCAATGTCCTGAATTGATTGCGTGCGCAACAATATGTTGGTCGATGCCGCACTTTGACCATTGGGCAGAAAATATCGAAAAATAGAAAATTGAAAAAATGTACGAATAGAAACTGAGTTCGTTCGGAAGTACAAAATCTACCACGAGATTATAAAACAAAAAGAAATGAAATGTGTGCCAGACAATTAGTGCAATCTCATGTCACACGAAATGCGGGTTTGTTCGTTTCCATGATTGCCTTCCGCAGAACCAGATCCGATCTGAGGATGTGCGTAAGAATGTTTCTCGTTCCATCCGATCGACGCACGGCGACTAGCACGTTCGTTTGCCAGTCGAAAAGATACTGTCGCACAAAGCTCGTAGAGCGTGCGACTTGAACACGTTTTCACCAACATGGGCACGCGACGTGCCAAACGATCACATTCCCAACTTCGGTGAACTACTGTACCCAAACTCGTCGCATCAGTGGTGGTGAGAATTGCTTACTCGTTGTTGGTAGGCACCATGCACCGGGATGATTGTACATGGTCGTGCGCGGCCAGAGGGCTGAAAAAGGATCTTATCGAATAGGATGTACAAGAAGACAAGAATTCCAGGGGTATCTGTTTATTGTTACGACCGACGTTGTCATCGGTAGCCGGAGCATTTAGATAAGTCTCAAGCATCGTGTGATTCTCTATGGTTCGAACTCACACGGAGAAAATGCGCGATTGCTCGAGCCGTATACGCCAGTAACAATGCATGCAAAGTGCATGGCGTGGCAGTAGCAATTTCTTCAGAGGGTCTTGTTGCGCTATCGCGCGGGAAGTGCTCCTTGTGACGAAGATGGGAGGATAAGCGAAGGCATCGTCTTTCAGCTTATGGAGATGATTACAGCTCAAAAGTCACCTCGTGTTTACCGCACCTTGAAGCATATGACAACGGAGTCGTTATTGAGAAAGGAGTCCATGGACAGCATTTGTCCTCGAGGGTATCTTTGTAGAAAATGGAGCACGTGAACAAGTCATATCGTACTCTGAGGCGTCACACGAGCACTCCTGGTGGAAAAAAGTTTGTGTTAAAAGAAACATATTAACTGCATGTGGCAACGCCTTTCCGCACCAATTGCGGCAGTTTGAACAGTCAACAGTAGTGCCTTCTCTGCGACTCAGTCCGGGCTTCAGAACGAACTATAGATTTGCATATCAACGAGCGGAAGGTTGGCAACGGACAAATTAGGGCAGAACACATGTTGTTCTTACCCGGTGACTGCGCAAGCATCCCTACGTCGCCCTTTTCGTAGCTACCGCTGTGGTGTCGAACAAGACGATGTGATGAGCAGACTAATACCCAATGTGCAAGCGATTGGCAACGTTGTCTGCAATGGTTACAGAGTACTTTGGTGCGACAAACATGCATGACCAAGGGGAATCATTTACCCTGCAGGGCCAATCAATGCCGAAACGGAAGACCGTAAATTGAGCTAACAAAGCGCACCTTCTCTCCGATGGCGGGCCAAAACTACGAATGCAGACTTGCCTGACGGTTGTGCAGACATAGCGGAAGGCCAGGGGAAAACAAAGACAAAAGAGCGAAAGAGCTGTCAAGTCGCTCGCAATCTTCGGAACAAAGGCTAGGGCCTTCGCTTATAACCACCTCATGCAGTCATTAACGGCTGTTTCGTACGTGTTGTGCGTTGAGCCGCGACAACCATGAAGCAGTCTCGTCGCTGATGTGTCTGTGGTTGCAGTAAGGTTGCACGCTATAACTGATAGGTGATAGCGAGTATAACAATCGGCAGCAAGCGGCGAAGAATACAATACTGATCTGGTTGCCTGCGCACAGCGAGCCATGTGGTCGCGCAGGAGCTGGCAGACAGACCATAGATGCCAAGCAGAAACACTGCAATATAAGATGCGCAGGCATGGCACTTTCGTGCTTACAAAACCGTAGAAATCAAGCACCACGATCTTATTCGCGGGTTATCGCCCCTCCCTTATATTTGTTCATCGTCGGCATCCAAAATTTGCAGCCAGCATTAGTTACACTACAGGTCAAGCCAGAAAGAAGGTTTTCCGCTGCGCCGACAACACACATCCCTGCGGTCGCTAAGCGATTTTGTCGGAAGTTGCAGAGAAAGTTTAAAGAAAGTCTTGGCTGGGCCACGTTCTCGAAGGGCAAGTCTCCGACAACGCATCCTACAAGCAAAGGTTTATCGGTCACATTCTTGGTACTTGACATTAAATTTTGCGACATCGGAAACGCAAGAGTGCTGATCTGGAAAAGAATTGACGGATGCTATTGCATGATGCAAAATTGCTTGGTAGCCGTCATTCCACTCATCGGTGGCCGTTCAGGGCCATCTTGTGATCGATTCTAAGAAGATACAGTTAGTCAACAAGCGCTTCACGGAAATGGATGAAATCAAGTGTGAGTTTGACTCGGACCGAGGCAATTGTATTGGACGAATCCGCGTAAATCCATCACAAGTGTCCTTCCGCATGGTGCCCTCAAATCTAGCTGGCCGGGTGAGTTCTTCACAGTTTCTTTTGTGCTAAGCACACGGTCGCGTTCATGCAATGAACGGGAGGTGGAACGAGCAGTACTAGGATGTCTAGCGCATGGACATGTGCACGAAAAGACTTGTCGCATGACGATTATCATCGTCGTATGAACCGAAAAGACAATAGCTGCAATGGATTGTGCCGTGCAATCGTCGCTGTGCAACACCGATATACCAGTGATGCCAGCAGCGTGTCACTACGTCGTCACGTAGAAGCACATCGTGTGGCGTTTGGCGCTATTTGTGGATCCCGAGCTCTAAAGCTGTTCCGTCGTCAGACGCCACAATTAAGCCGTCCAGTTAGTTCCTTCGTGGTACAGGACGGAACCGCTTGAATGTATCGCAAACGATAAATCAAAATGGTTCGTCTCGGATTCTAGTGAGACTCCGATATGTTACTGATGCTGTGGTATTTGCAGACAAAAACATCGCTCGAGGAAGATGCTAACTCCAATGACATTTAACTCAGGATCACAGGCAGACGTTGCATTAAATCTAGAACCTCTTGAGGCACGTGCGCCCCAGAGCGACTCAGTCGTCCAAGAAAGTGCAAGAGACTGCAATCGATTGCACACTGACATTGTCGCGAATCGCGAGTACGTGCAGGCGGCGATCAGATTGCGGGCCGATTGATTGGCGACGCTGGCCTCTGGACCTTTTCGGAATGCAGGACGACTTTCTTCGAAATAAATAGGGCTGAGGCACCAACCAGGCGGGAATGTATGGGACTGCTGGTGCAATAGAACGACTATTTCTAGACTCTGCTGCGCTGTCACGTCAGTGCCCACCATCATGGTCGTAATCGAGACGTTGGCGAGTGTCCAGTGACGACGCGCCAATCGCTTCTACATTGAGACTTGCAGATTCGGCGTTTACTCGATGGCAATGCACGATGCTACTGGGATGAAACCGCGTACGACGACACTGCAAAGACAAACGATCGAATTACGGTCATCGGCCTGTTTAGCTCGTCTACCGTTTGATTGCTCACGGAGCCATAGCGCATGACCGAAAGCTGCAAAGCCTTCGCGGCACACGCACGACGCATTGGAACCTCCGACAGCTACTCAATTACGTAAAAGCTGCTCCTTTCTTTGACCTAAGAACAGTGGATCTTGCTGCACTCGGCCACAAAGTGACGCTGCGGTGTAGAGAGCCCCCACACGGGCGCGCCTCGGATGAGGAGGCGCTGGATGAGCGTCTCTTCGTCGCTCGCAATCCGCGCAAGCACCCTCTGCTGCTCTTCAGCAGCGAGCGAGGCCTTCTGCGTCTCCCACTGAAGCATGAGCTGCTGCAACTTGGTCAGATCCTGCGGCTCGGCACGTGCGCCAGGGCTGAACTTGGAGTTGGCCTCGGATCGCGTCTTGGCCGAGCCATAGAAGCCGCCCTGGCCCTCGGACGGCTGGCCCCCAGAGTAGGTCGTGAGGGTGCGAACCGAGCGCACGTGTCGCACAGAGGCGGTATGGCGCAGGGCTTTGAGCATTGCAGGTCGTGTGTGTTTCGGGCGAAGATCTGTGCGCGAAAAGTAGCAAAAGTGCGAGTGTCGCGCACGGTGAGGGGTGTCCAATGGCTCGGAAGCTGCCGCGGACCGGCGGAATGTGTGACACACACCACAGTGCACAAACACAGGACGTGCGACCGAAAGGATGGATGAGATCCGTCGTCGGGTCGCAATTGGTCGGACAAACGCCGCATCAATTTGTCTCATGCGCATGTCGTACAACTCTCCCACTAAGCAGCTTCAACGAAGGGCGCTGAGAATCCTCTGGCTCGAATCCTCTCGATGGCGCCAATCACTCGACGTCGGCTGCAGCACGTACTGTACGTGCTGCAGACGGGCAGTGGCAGTGCTGCGCCGTTGTGGGCGACGAATGACGCGGACCAGCTGCGATGACCACAGTTTTAACGGGAAAAGGCAGTTTCAAGCTGGAAAGGACGCGAACTCCGTTGCATAAACTCGACAGCTTGGACCTGATCACCGAACAGTCGCACGGAAATGCTCTCACTGCATAACGTCGACGTTCGTCTACATTCTCGGATGACGCAGCGCCATTGCCAGCGATGTCTCGAACAGGTTCTCACACTGCGGTGATGTATGACAATGCGACAAAATCGCTGTCTTTTTGCTCTACCTATCCAATCTCCAGATTCCTACCGTGTTGTTGTGCAAGCCATTTCCGCGCAAGCCTATCGCACTCCTTCATCATCTCCGGCGATTTGTTTTCCCCTGCGAGCTGCTCGCAAGTCTGGACGTTCAAGTCCTGGTCCACTTGGCAGCCCGTTGGCGACAGGATAGCCTCCTATCTGGGCTGCACTCATTTCGTACAAAGGTGGCGTCAGCGCCTCTACAAGATTGGCTTGGAGGCTGGATTGATCGCGCAACTTCTACAGCCGCTCGGTCAGGCCTATCTCCGCTTATTGATAACGGGGACGACTGGCACAAATTACGTGAGCTAAAGTACGCTGCGGATGATATTTTAAAACTATGTGATCCGTGCCGCAAGGTTCGGTATAGTCAGCACCTGATATGCGCTCTTCTCTTCGAGCACGAGATAGGGGTGCTAACTGAGGGGGTGGCGGTGCCGTCATCACCTGATCTACAAATTCGACGGCATCTGCAGCTTCTAAAGCACAATACCGCCTACAAGTCTGCCTTCTACCAAGCTGACCGTCAATACGTGGACTGGAGGGCAGTCGAGAGTTTTTTCTACTGTGCTCTGACGCCTGCAGCGGAGACGGCGCTCGTCTGTTACTAAAGGCACTTTACGCGATTCGCTGGCAACGCATTTGCGTCAGTACAATCTCGACGACGCGGATGCCTTCGGTAGACACGCATTACTGTCTGAGTGGTCCGGCAGTGGTACTGAACGATCTCATTTTTTCTCACAGCATCCAAGTACTACCTATATCACACAGAACGTACGTGGGTTTAAAAAAAGTGTACGGATCGGCTGGATGTCAGCCTGGCGAAGCCGTCCTGCCTGTGCTCGACCTCAAGCGTGGTGCATCCAGGAAACACATGTTAAAACATCCGAGGAAGCTCAAGAGTTGTGCTCGACCTGGGCACGTATGTGGGGCAAGCACCGAGATGGCGGTCACCCGCCACTTTCGTACTGGAGCGTAGGGTCGTCTCGTCTTGGGGGAGTGGCCATTTTGCTTACACCCTCTTCATCTGTGAAGGCTTCACCCTGGCGGCAAGATTTGTGGAATACCAGGACGATCGCTGTCGCATTAGACGATGTGGTCCTCGTTAATGTGTACGCTCCGTCGCTCAGACCCGAGCGCGAAGCCTACTACGTTTCTCTCGCCCGTTGGAACTTTCCACGGGACAGCTCTATCGTGACAGGTGACTTTAACTGCGTCCAAAGCCCTCTCCTCGATCGGCTGGGTCATCATCGGTCGTGCCGACCGGAAAGCCCAAGTCTTCAAGCTCTTCTGGATCTCCACGGACTAGAAGATGCTCGGCTCCTTCGCTCCCACGCCGAAGATGAGGAAGCGGACGACTGTGTGGATCATTTTACATACTGGGAGGGGGAATCGGCAAGTCGCATTGATCGTTTCTATGTTTCTCAGCGGTGGGCTGATTTGGTGCAGTGGTTAGCCGTCCGAACACCTCCCCAGGCGTCGGACCATCAAGAAGTGGAGTTACACTTACGCGTGCGGCAGCGTACTACCTCCTCCCTCTACCGACGTCCGGTATCATACCCCATTCAGACACACCAACCCGAACGCGTGCGCTCCGATCTCATAGCGGAAATGGATGGGTGGGCGGTATCCCCAACTACGACGGTCAGGCAATGGGATTCAGCTGTGGAAGCATGCAAACAGTGCATCACAACCGTCCGCAAGCGCGAGCGTCAAAGACGTGCCCGTTTTAAGAAGAGGGTAAGCCGACGCGACCGGCGCCAGCTCTTGACCCGTCCTCAGTGGATCAGCGCTAATATGGAAGATCACCGCCTCGAGCATCTCGTTCGATTAGGGCAGAGCCTCGAACGGACCACTGCGCGCCTCCGATGGTCGTTTAAGCGAGTCGCAGATTGGGAGCGCGTACAAACAGTTACGAATATCGTTCGCATTCATGGTCCGCCCTTTAGGCGACACCTATCCATTGCTGACAAATTCGCTTCGGAATGGTCACCAGTTCTTAGTGCCGTGCATCGGGTGGAACCCTTGGCAGCTTTACCAAGAGCGTTGCTTGACTTTGTGTCAGTGCCTGACGATCGCTTGATTTCTCCCGCTGCTAATAATGGGCTGATGGTTGACGTCACTGAGACTGAAGTCCTTCACGCCATCACCGAGCTTAGCCGTCACAAAGCTTCAGGGCCGGACGGTCTTAACAATGACTTCTACAAAGATACGTCCGCTTTACTGGCTCCGGCGCTGGTGCACGTGTGCAATCAAATATTGCACGGTTCTCCTATGCCACCTTCCTTTCTAGAAGCGATGATTATCCCTCTTCGGAAAAAGGGTGATTCGCCGGACGCACTTGACTACAGGCCGATCTCTCTGCTCCAAACCAGCTACAAAATTTTTGCGAAAGTGCTGGCCTCCCGACTACAGCGCGTCTTACCTACACTCATCGGGGAATCGCAACAAGGTTTTGTTCGAGGTAGACAAATGCAAAAACTGGTCATGATGATGACTGCCCAACTCGCTTCAGCGGAGGAGAGGGCGGATCTATCAGCCGACTTAAGCCGATCTATTCTCTTACTTGACTTTCGCAAGGCGTACGACACTGTGGACCGAGATTTTCTATACGCGGCATTACGAAGCTTTCAGTTTGACGAAGTGTTTATTACGCTCGTCACCCGGATGCATACCGGAACAACCGCTCGGTTTCTGGTGAATGGGGAACTTTCTGAACCAGTTCCTGTCCGGTCCGGAATACGTCAGGGGTGTCCTCTCGCACCGCTTTTATTTCTACTTGTGGTGGAATTACTTGGGCTGGCTATTCACCAGGCGCCCTCCATCCGGGGTATTCCGGTGCCCGGGGCCTGCGGGGTGGTGCATACATTCTCCGCGTTTGTGGACGACTCCACCATATTCCTTGAGCATGCCAATCAGTTGGCGCCTGCGTTGGAGCTAGTCTCTAGATTTGGACAACTCTCGGGCCTTCATGCCCAGCCTGCCAAGAGCAAATTGATTTTTTTAAACACGGCTATCAGGCTGCACCAGTATGGTGGCATCTCAGTCTTACAACACAGAGAGACAACGCGATACCTGGGGTACGAAGTGGGGACAGGGGCATTATACGATCGAAACTGGGCGCTTCGGCTTCAGAAAATCCGTCGGCGGCTTCTCACTGCAGCGAAAGTAGCGACTAGTGTGCAAAATCGTGTCCTCATTCTTAACGCGATCATTTTACCGGCTATCCTGTTCACAGCGGCCGTCTTCGATGTGCCGAGCTGGGCGAGAACGGAGATATCTCGGCTGTACCGCCAATTCCTGTGGGCGCACGCTTCTGTGCCTGCCGTACGTCGGCACAAAATTAACCCGGGTCTCCTCTTTACGCCCCAGAAGGCAGGCGGGGTTGGTCTGGCCTCGTTCGAAGTAGCCGTCAAAACTCAGCGGACGAAGCACGCGTTGCGTTGGCTAACGCAGCCGCATGACAAATATTTTACAGCGTGGCGGCGCTGGACATATAGCGTGGGAGGTTCCACATCGGCTCTCGTCCCGGCGCTCCATCCGTCTGCTTCAACAACGTTTGACATCAGGCGAGGACCTGGTCGTTCCTCTCTGGCGCAGGATCTCGAACGGCTCCTAGCACCCTCCCCTGAACAAGTGCTGTCGATTCGGGCCAGATTGGACGCGCATCACGCTCGTATGTCTGTCGGGGCGAGCAGTCAGTGGGATGGTGACGAATGGTTAATTTCATACCATCAAACGTTTCCTGACCATCCCGCTGTTGCTGATCACCGGATGGATACATTAGCCGCTTTCTGGGGCCGCTTTCACTGGGATGGCAATCCTTGGATTCAAGGGCCAGACGGCAAGCCCCTAGAGCGGGCCAAATATGCCCGGATACCTCCATGTTCACTGCGCAGTCTGTGCATTCGGCGACTGGGGTCACATGAATTTCAATTTACGTTCCCGTCTCTCGGCGGTACTTCGTCTCGGCATATGCATTGTAAATTACAACGTTGGGCGACTTCGATCCTGCTCTCGTCACCCCACCTTGCTGTCGGTGCGGGACCGGTAGAGCCCGGGCTCGTCTTACGTCATCCACCGCCGTTTCGGCGCGCTTATAAATGGTCCCGGGTACGAGCTGATTTAATTGTCGGGTCATGTCGGGATCCTGTCGAGTCCGCGACCTCGACGATTCGCCTCCGCCAAGATGTCAATGGAATCCATTGGTCGATTGACGGGAATTTACCAGAATTACGGGGGTCGCCTGAGCAAGTGTCTAACTACTGGGAGCATTCGCACCATCGTACCTTGGTGTTTCATGCCCACCCGGAGCTTCACCGTTTCCCTTGGAGTGTGCCAGAGACGGTGGCCAATGTAGATGTGTGGACAACGCTTATGAAGCAAGCGTTTCACGTTCATAAACGCCTTCTGCACCCTGGCCTCCAGTCCTGGTTGAAGGCCTATGACGCGCAGGCGGTATCGAATAGTTGGCAGTCAGCTGCATCAAATCAAACGCCTTCCCAAGTTTGGAAACACGCAAACGGGCTAACGGAGTATCAAGTCTGGACATGCTATCGTATCGCGACAAAGCAGCTAAATCTATACCATGCCGGTCGCACGCTGGACAACAGTTGTCGTACGGAGCTGCACTGCCGAGGACGCAAAGAGACAGCGGCGCACATTTTCTGGGAGTGCCCAATCGCGCAAGCGTGTTGGTGTCACTTGATAGGACACTGGACCGGTGGGGGTGCGACGAACGCAGTTCTTTCCACCTTCTTTCAGCACTGCGCCAATCGCAAAGCCCCGCCCATTCCACGTCAGCTGAGTTTGCGGTTGCAAAGCCGTTTTCAAGATGACTCTGACGCCGCAGCAACAGAATTCGAACGGATCTGGTTCATATTAAGCTCCATCTGCCAAGAACATTTGTGGACCGAGCGGAACTCGGCGGTCTTTAGAGGAGCCGTGACTACTCCATCCGCAAGTGTCCAAATGTACTGGACACGCGGTGTTCGCCAGCTACGGGCAATTGCAATACGCGAGCATCGAGCCGCGGCTACGGCCGTACGAGGGGCCCGACTTCATGCCTGTCTTGAACTTCTGATTCAAGAGCCCCGTGGACACCCGCCCTACGCGGGTGTCAGCCACGATCCGCTGCCGCGACCGGCGCTCATATCCTGGCTCAGGATTTTTCAGACCTCTTGTCCACATTAAATATGTCAATAGATGATCATGAAACTCCTCCTCATTTCCGCGCAAGCTGGTGTGACTTTGGTCGGACTGTGTCGTCGTGATTGTCGCGCATATGTGTACGGCGTTATGCAGTCGCGTGTTACGACAGTGGCAATCGAGCAGATTAGTAGCGCGTATGTTCGTGTGGTCGATGACGATGAAACAATAGAAACCGGGGTTCGACGCAAACATTTGCTCTATCACGAACTATCTAGGCTTTGCAGTGGGCAACAGCGTGTTTGCTGGACAGCGTTGTCACATTCGTTCACAACCTGTCTACGAATCTGGAGCTTGCAACGGATATGGAAAGGCACTTAGTCCGCATCGTTTCGAGGAAGTGTGCGATCGTCTCACTCACACGTTAGGCATCGTGCTCGATGCGCTTTTGATCTGACTACCCGCCTTACCTGAACGGCCTGTTCGATAGAGCTCTTCGCTGACGCTGTTACATACCCATTGCCTTACTGTACATCACCCCCAGCTGCTAGTTCGTCATTGGACCTCGAACGGTGTAGTGTTCTTTTGTCTGTCTTTCGCTGACCAGCTTACAATGGTTGCACCAAGAGCAAGCAGCACATGATATAGCTCTAGCACCAACTGGAACTAATGCTCCCCTAGCAAAGAGTAATGAGTAACACGCTGAACGCTCGCCACGAATCGACGTCACATACAGCGTATCATCCAGACTCCGCGAAAAGGCTGGACAAAAGAAAGCTCTTGCATGCCAGCGCGTTTTCCATCCGCCTTGTACGGGCAACAGAGACGCGAGCTGACACTTATGGGTTGCAGCAAAGCATGTCAAGTACGTAGAGCTTGTCTGCCAGAGGCTCACTCCTGATCAGCAAAAAGGTAACGTCACACATTGTGGCGACTCCGTCAGTATATGATACGTGTGTCGAGGGATTTACATCGGGCAACCGCCACTTAAGTGCGTCATCGGTTCTTGGTTGATCACCGTACTCGTAAGGGTCGTACTAGCACGCATGTGTAAGTTGCTGACCTTAGTTAGGCATCCAATCGAAATGATTACATACACGGTATTTTTGCTTACGTCGTAAGTGGTGATGTCTTCTGATGTAGCACTTCGAGGAAGTTTCTTATTGTCGATAACCGTGATAAAAGGCAGCTCATCGTTTCGGCAAGAAAAGAGTGAACCTTGTAAGGGTATTTAGTTGTCTCCTTAGCACTTCGTGCGGCTAGTTCCGTACATGATTGTGATAGCATGGAGTCTTGCTAACATCCGTTCTCCTGGCTCTAGTTGGCACAAGTAACCGTCGTATAACTCGATATGAAAGTGTGAGGCTCTTTGAACAAAAACGGCCTCTTGAGTTTTTGTACCTCTGAAACGAAGGCTAAAGCAGTCCCCACTGCATAGCAGACGCATTGGGCTGCGCGTGAATCAAGCTGTTGAGCATCGATCAGCCTTCGCCGCGCACCGCATGGATTCTATACCACGCAACGGAAAACGTTGAGAGGAAGGGGAATGTCCAATAACTACTGCTCTGTTCCCATCGACTCCATAGTGCTTACCTACATCAATTGTAGCAGCTGGTATGACTGTTGGTAGAAGAGTTAGGGTGATCGAACGAAATGGATCCGTTACGTTACGTGAGCAATGACAAATATCAATGAGCTGTGTGTCTTAGCGGATGGTGGTGTTTTACCAACATTACGAAAGAGGGCGGTGTCGGAGTAAATGACACGTAAATGTGGCATTCGGACTAGTTAAGTACAAAATGCTCACCGGATGATGCAGGCCATGCCGTTAGCCATAAACGTCAAGAGTAATGATAGACGTGCGCCATGAATTGTGCGCAGGTTTCTAATATGTATATGTACCGTTAGATATAACCAATGTAGGGTTACGACGGGTCATATGCGAAGGATTCTTGTGCCTTGTATACAGTTCACTTTTCCCAACATCCGAGCCTAGGTCCGAGTACCGGTGCACCTTGGAACACGAGAGTACGCGGGAGTTCCGAAGTTCGTGGTGACGCTGTTACCAGTGTAGGTATTCTGTGTCAGGACAAGCGAAACGAGCCAAACCCGCATGTGATAGACAACTCCCGCTTGTACTAACGAAAGTAACAGCAGCCTACACTGATGCAACTATGGATCAGACGACTCGACATTTCACGTACAAGGTGACTTGCGGAGGAAGCGCAGTCAACTGAACGAGGATACCTCAGTTGAACGGAAAAGGAAGTGAATGTAGTTCAGCTGTCTTTCAATATAACTCTTCCTGAAACCTATCTATAGCAGTAGATGACTACAAGTATGTCCGACAACTTGTTGCTCACCACTCATTGTGCGCATCCGGCATTAATTGATGGTCTAGTTTGGACGCTAACATGGTCTACACAAACCAAGGAGCAGTGCCTTGTCAAATTCTGCCGAATTTATCACCTTCAGTCGTGATATCCCATCAATATTCCCCGCTAGAGGTAGTTTTACTGAATTTTGTACGCTAGAGAGAGAGAGTGAAAGACCTGTCGTTTGCAGGCTAAGATAATTTTCACACCGACTTTCAAACAAGTGTCAAATTCGTGAAAAAGGGTCGCCACGCTACATCACACATACGACAGGATAAGCAAAAATGCTTGTGTCAGCACCGACGTATAGTCTGCTTGTGATGGTATGTAACGAGCGTGCATTGCCGTTTTACAAAGTGCTGTAAGCAACCACGGTCATAGTGCATGACCTAAAGCATTCTGGCTATGGCGGCGTCGGTTCATGCACTTTCGTCACCGCCAACCGTCAATGACCACAGCAGACACAGTTGACGCTGACAAATCGGTAACCTTATACGATACAAGTTCACCGTGTTGCGATTATCCCACGTATAGATGTGCTCGCCGGGCTACACGCCTCTAGTCAAGAGCTGCCCTTTAGTTGCCCGCTTTATATCACGCAATCTGCGCGCACTATGACTGCAGCGTGCCGACATTTTAGGAAAGAGACCTGGACTCGAAATACGAGCGCCGATACGTTACTTCGCGAAACATGAGCGCCAATTTAGCAATTCTTTCAACTACGACAGAAACAAGACCTATACACTGAACGCCAACGTCAGCAAGTGTGTCGACTGCGGCGAGAACAAGAGATTATGATGGACGCGATTGTTCGAGAAGCGCACAAGGATTCCCGCTGAAAATCCGGAGTTGAAAATCATTGCTTACCTGGAAGTGTTATTCTCTTATTATTATTGGTGTGTTTTGCCCACACGAGTCGTGCATGCAGATGCAGAAACGGCGAGCGCAGGTTGCGAGTCGACGGTCCATCATCAACGAAAAGGGATTCTTCCATTTGTTCACAGAACAGGTATATAACTGCAGCCCGTGCTGCAAGATCGACAAGTTCAATGACATACCTTTTCAGCATAGCCACCTACCATCGATTCGAAGCCTCAATGAGGCCATTGGCTACCGAGATAGGAGTGCTCACATATTTCCTCACTAGACCTTCTCCACGAGCTCGTGTCTCCCAACGTTCGGCCTACATCGTTAGTACTCGCTGATCGTCTTATCTTCTCTTCTCTTCGTCCTCTGTCGCTTGGCCCCCGATGTCGTGTGCTGGAGCAACAGCACTGAACTCGTGGCGACCTGTAGCATCATCTTACGTAAATGGGCTCCAAAAAGAATCAGTTGAACATGCACCTTTAGTGAACAATCGTGCGAAGCAAAAGTACCGCAGAAAGTAGTCGTCAGACGGGTGGAACGTTATAGTTTTTCGCATCGCAGCTCGCTCAACTTGACATCGAGAGTACCCAGATTGCAACTCAAGCGTCCAACAACGTAAGGCAAACAGTCCCATGCGTTGCGTAACGTACGAGGCAAGACCGAAAACCATAGTGCGTGGCCGCACAAGTCACAAGGCGTGCAATACGAACAAGCGCTGAAGTTCAGCAGTTTGACACTTATTTGGTGTCAGTATCAGAGTTGTGGTCAAAATTACCCACTCGGGAATTTGAAGGTCCAAATCTTGGCATTGTCCGAAAGCACTTGACACAATAGCTTTAGTTTCGGCTATTTTCGACAACATGGCTGCGTGTGTCTATGACAAGGACTCACCTGGCCGGAAAACGACCGTGGGGCCCCGAGATACGTCAGGCCAATGGCATACTGCCAACCGCCGCAAACGAGCCGCCTCGCTGCTGCTGGCTGAAGAACCGACGCAACGGGAGAGTCAGGCGACGCAGACCGCAACGGAACGAACACCGTCGTCTGAGGACGCTGGAGATCCCGTGTTTGCAGCCTCCGGGCCGTCTCAGGAAGAGTCAAGTGGACCGCGTGACAAGGCTATACTGGACGGAAAAGCGACGCACATATGTATGACAGACTCTGGGAAGCAGGGAGGTAGGAGGTGCGCGCGCCAAGTATGCGGGAGATGTGGCGGATGGTGGCTGAAGCTGGTGTGCTATTGAATGACTCTAGGATCTTCGCGATCAACAAGGGATTGCATTAAAGATACAGTACCATTGACAACGGCTGGCGATACCGGAATCGGTGCTAGTGACGGCGACGCTGACTCGGATATGTCGGACGATTTGCTGGAACAAGTCGGGTCCATTGCTGTGCTGTCTTCGATTGCTGCATCTTTACAGAAACGAAAGCCAAGAGACAAGGGTAACGTGACAATTTGCAAGCCGTGCGGGCCTCGTCGATCGTCATTGGCTCTTTCTAGTCATGACGATATTGACAGCAGTGGTGGTGAGACTGAGATTGAAGGTGAGCCAAACGAAGAGTCACCTCTACAGATCGAAACACATCCAGAAGAGAAGAAAATGTGCTCGAAGGGAAGAATGCCGGTGCATCTGGCCAGAGGTGGTAGCTGTGCGAACGTAGGCTTGAAGAAGAATTCGCCTAGCTCAGAAAGGAAAAATATGGGACGGTTTATTGCGACGCCTAAAACGACAGACAAGCTGACTTCCCTATCTGGTGGCCCGCATTGTGAGCAACGTGGGGCTACTGGAGACAGTCACTCGGAAACAAAACGATTTCGCCGTGACGAGGACGGAATGGCCCGACAAAGCTTGGACCGGGCACTGTCGTCGAAGAAGTCGGATGGAAGGGAACGCAGCGACGGAGGTGTACGATACGAAGATGCAAAAGCATCCCGTGGTTGCTTGGAGGTTGCCAACGATGATACACAAGACATTTCAGCTGCAAAGGGCGGCCAGCTTGACAAATTGTCGACTTCATCGTCCTTTTTGGCATCACGCTCGCCGCACGAGACACGTAAGTCGGGCCAAGGCAGGAAGCGCACTCACGGTTTGGGAGGACAAGCTCAAATCGGGTCGATTCGCATTCTTCTGACGGGGATCGAGCTGACTGCTGCAATTGGCAAGAAGATCAAGTCAATCGCCGGTGCTGTTTACGAGAGTGATATCGAGAAAGCTACGCATCTGGTTGCTCCCCAGAATCAGCTTAAGCGCACCTTGAAATTGCTGTGTGGCATTTCATGTTGTGCACATATTCTAGGCGAGCAGTGGCTTGACCAGTCAGCACAAGCTGGCGTGGCTGTTGATGAGCAAGCGAACTGCCTACGGGATGTGGAAGCAGAGAGCAAGTGGCAATTTGATCTGAGAACGACTATGTACGGCGTGGCCGTGGAACATCGTCGGCGTTTATTTGCAAGCTACAGCGTGTTTATCACCAAGCACAAGTCCTTGCTACCACCGGTGGAACTCTTGGTGAAGATTGTACGGTGCGCGGGTGGCAAAGCGACGTCAAAAGGAAAGCCTGGGCCAAGTGACATTGTGATCTCGAGTGAGGCGGCATTGGCTACCGCCACGGTGCTCAAGCAGCTCGTGGGTAGTAATCTTGAGCGTATTTACTCGTCCGAGTTCATTCTACGAAGCATCTTGCAGCAGCGCGTTGAGCTGGACAAGTACCGACTCCAAGTTCCCGAAAGCAGGAAGAGCAAACGCCGGTAATGGTGGCACTTGGCTGGCAACGATGGCACTTGGCTGGCAACGATGGCACTTGGCTGGCAATGATGGCACTTGGCTGGTAATGATGGCACTTGGCTGGCAACGATGGCACTTGGCTGGTAATGACGGCACTTGGCTGGCAATGGTTGTGATTCGATTCGCTCGTGCGAAAAGTACATATGCAAATGGGTGCGCAAGAATATGGTATGGCACCACTATTCGTATCGAGATGGTAATGTACTGGAGACCTACTTGGTAGTCGGACGAAAGCCGATAAAGGCGCAGCCGATCAGTGAGACGATGCACATAGAGAGCAAATGCTGGTGCGCAAGCGTCTCTTCCATCCACTTGTTGACGCTATTGCCGCGGCGTTGACTGATCAATCGGTCGACCGTGACTTCGCTCGGACTGTCGCAGTAGCACACAGGCGCGTCCTCGCGGCCAAACTCTCGCTCGAGCACAAGGCACTGGCCGCGCTGGTCAGCGAACGAGACCGTCTTCTTTGGCTTCCTGGACGAGTAGCTGACCGTGATCGTCTTGGTCGTGGACAGCTCATCCAGCCGCGATCCCCGGGGCGCAACGTCACTCGTAAAGGCGCTGTCCTTGCGCAGACAGGAGCGTCTACGCGCTGTTCGTGGTGTTGTCAGCGGCTGGGCATAGTGTCGGCAGTTGGAGCTGCGCGGAGACTTCTGGCCAATAGCCATGAGCTGTTCGGTACTTGAGCAGGTTCGGAAACTGGGCCCAGCGTCGTATTTGCTCATGTGGGTGTTAACAAAGACACGACGACCTGTGACGGAGGCGTGTTGGCGCTATCCGTTCAGGCACACCGGTTCGGGGTTTCCGCAAGTTTGTCGTTGTAGCTGCGGAAATGCATTTTCTTGGCGAAATACCGGTTCGTCAAGGCTTTGGCCGTTGTTGCCATTCACGTTTTGGCATGAATTCAATTTGGTCAGCGCGGGTGATTGAATTCGTCGAGCAGTGCAGTAGAAAGGCTGTAAACAAGTCGACGATTGACTTCGTCGTCAGAACATGCCTCCCACGCGATCACACTGCAACACTGGTACTTGTGGTGGTGGGCGATGGCGAATCTAACGTGGTCGTCGTCTCGTATGACGTAACTGAGGGGTGTAGCAAAATAACTTCGTGTGGGATTCTGACCTGCGAAACGGTGTCTCGCAATAGACTCAACTTTCGAGCCATTCCGTCGATTGTACTGCAAAGTACATCAGTGAACGCATTGACGTACTGCACCCTTCTACGTTTAGACTTCGCGTGATAAGGGGTCATCGAAGACATTGTCAACGACCGTAGGTTATCGTAGGCCGAGCTATACGCGAGATGTTTCAGGCATCGACTAAAAGCAATAATGACTGCGGCTGTCAAACGATTTCGGCAGTCGGGGCATCAGAGTTTCATGGTAATTAACAAATGTGACGTGCAAGCGTTTGACACTCCGATGAGTTCCACAACATCGAAATTATGCATGACAATATATACAGGAAATGTATCAAACCAGGCACCAGATAAGCACGAATATATTAATTTAGGACCACGAGAAGGTGCAAATTAAAATAAGGAGTCACAACATGGGAAAATAAAATAGTGAGCCACTAATGTAGACTATACGACCAAACCCATATCCGTGGGATCGATCAGTCATGTGGATCCTCGCATAACTTCTCGTTTCCTCTCATCATTTAATGACCAGAGCCCTTACATCTCAATTGTCGACATTCGTATTGCACGAAGGGCAAGGAGCGTCGACGCTTCAAGCGTAATCTGGCAGTATCGTTTGTCGTTCGAATGAACAAAAGAACACGTAGCTTCGAACTCTTTCACTAATCTTTTGTACTTCGGAATTATATCAATATGATGCTGCTATTCCTGTGATATCGACATTTTCTCCATTTTATCGCTCGCACGTGTACATTTGGTCAAAATGCTTAACATGTGGTGCAAATTATCTTCTTGTAGTATATATTGACTTTTGAATGAAATGTAAATGCACTTTTGTGTACCCCTAGAGACAAAAGTATAACAGTATTGTGATAAAGAAGTGGATATGAAGAGGCTAAATTAGTTACATGAATATACATATGCGCTGAATAAACCAAAACAATTGCTTCGCGTGATGAGAAAGAAAAAAGGAATCTAATGAAAAGAAGAAATGTCGTTCGCCCCAAGATAGAAAAAACATAAAAAGGCACCACTGATTTTTACACGACCAGGTACCTGGATTGAAATTAAATTTAAGTATTTGATAATATTTGTAAAAGTGTTGTAGCAATTTATAGAATCGAGAATTTTCAGCGAAGGTGAGGTGCTGGATCAGAGTTTTGTCTCCATTGATCAGGCTTTTTACTGGGATAGTTGTTGATACGCCGGGGCTTTTGGAACAGGTTGCATAAGCTCTACGATGCAAGCTCTGTTCTTAGTAGTTCTCTCGCATATAGAGCGACCTTTTTAAAATTGTAGCTTAGTGAAGTGCTGAACTATGATGCTGCATAGCCGATGTGGACCGAGAGAGCCGAGCGGTTAAGCTTGTGTGAAATATATCTTCTAATTCAGATAACAATATTGTGTCGCTCTTCGCAGCTTCAATACCGCAAAGTCCAAATTGATGCGTGAATCGCTACCACCATCAGTAGCCTCCATTTTGTGGCGACCAGAACATTCTCTTATCATTAGGTATTTTTTACCGCAAATTCCGCATTATGTGCTCGCAAGCATCCGTGTGACCACCATCAAAAGTACCAACGTGACTATACAGATTTTCCACCACCTTGTATCTTCTTGACAACGCCTGCCGATCCGATGTCTCATACTGCCTCGGGTTGTACCTGAAACACCTTACGCAGCATTTTGTACGCGCTATAAAAAACAGCGCTTTTCCGTCGTATCAATACAAAACGATACCGCCCTGACGACAGCAACGTATTGATATAATTTCAGAGTACAAAAGATAAGTGAGAGAGTTCGAAGCTACGTAATCTTTTGTTCATTCGAACGACAAACGATACTGCCAGATTATGTAACGGGGCAGCCCGTTACATGGAAATTGTCATTTGAGAGATAATGACGATAAATAATATTACGTTGAATATTCTTTTAATAATATCACCAATAGTGGTGATATTGATGGGTCGACCAAAGAGTCTGCTCATTGGTTGATATCTTGACGATATCAACCCACCAATCGCCGCAAGACGCGCGCAATGAGTGGTGAGTAAACGTCGTCATACATTCAGTTATATTAGTATGATTAAGGTAAGTCAAACAGAGAGACAGTGATTAAAGACTTAATTATATTAATATAACAGTTTTACTTTTCCCTTATCTACGCTTCCTCGTTTGCCTCGTGTACGTCTGTCGGGCGCACCAAAACCCTTGCGTTAAGTTCACGCAAAGGTGTGCCCCGTTACAGATTACGCTTGAAGCGTCGACGCTCCTTGCCCTTCGTGCAATACGAATGTCGACAATTGAGATGTAAGGGCTCTGGTCATTAAATGATGAGAGGAAACGAGAAGTTATGCGAGGATCCACATGACTGATCGATCCCACGGATATGCGTTTGGTCGTATAGTTGACATCAGTGGCTCACTATTTTTTTTCCCATGTTGTGACTCCTTATTTTAATTTGCACCTTCTCGTGGTCCTAAATTAATATATTCGTGCTTATCTGGTGCCTGATTTGAGCATCCAACGTATTATTTTATTTTTTTCATCTTGTGGTGCTGTTTAACCTTTAATTTTCTTATTTTAAAATGTAGTCTGCCAAATAAATAAATATAGCTCGCGAAATCGGGTATTTAATATGCATAGTTAAATAAAAAAATACGCTCAATAATAAATACCTTTCGGATAAAGATTATGATATTGCGCACACATTTTGGAACAAACGCGTGATAAATAATAGAATTATCAATGCGTTTTTGTAAAACCGCTGTGGAGATTCTATATTGCAAACTCGTTTTATAATTGTGAAAGCGGTATCAAAGTTTTCGTATTTGATGTTTATTTGTTAAATTCACATTCGATATTTTAACGCCAAACTGACCTCATAGACATCTTAAAAATTCCTAAATGTTCCTATTGTACTGTCGGTTTCGTTATCTAATACGACTTAAGAGAAGCTGTTTGCATATATAAATTTGCAAATACGAGAGCTTATGTTTCCGCATAATACATTCATATAAGTGCTGAGTAGGACACATCCGTTATCAAATTATTTGTAGAAGTTTGTAAAGGGATAACCAGGTAAAATGCCATAACATAATCTAGGCGATTTGTACTCCCGTAGCCTAAAGACGTATCGATGGAGTTACTTGAGATCTCTTTTTCTAATGATACGCTCTCTCATCACGCCTCAATTGTTTCGTTGCTCAGTTTGGGCCTTAAATTTACGCAATAAATAAAATAAATGATTATTGAGATCTACCCGCTTGCATGAAAAAGCCGCTTTGATCCCGTTCTTTCTGTAAACATATTTTATACCATGTTCGTACGCTATTTTTGCTGATATCGGTCACAAGTTTCCTTTAAATTGAGATTGGGTGAGCGTGCTGCCAATTCTACCACCTGTAATAGCTATTTTTCGAACAGGCCGATATAAACTTCGACGTGTAGATCGGTGAATTTTTCGCCAGAAGGTGTAGCTTTACTTAAAAATGTACAAATGAAAGCAACTTGTTTTAAAAGGCATTAACAGAGTGCATAGGCGGCTAATTACGAGACAATCTCATCATCACCTTTCTACATACCGAGGATGAACGGAGCGACAAGCCGCGTTACTTATAAAACCTGTAAGTTGTAGAGGAAGAGCTCACAACTATTCGTTGCTTTGAGGTATGTGTATATTATAATCATTTTCTCCCAATCACGAATTTAACTCATGTTTTAGTAGAAACATGCGTTTGCTCTTCAACATCCTTGTAAAAGATTTTGTTACTTCACCCCAAGTATCAATTCACAATATTTTGACGTGCTCTTCCTCCAAGTCAGGTACAATTGATGCCTACCTTTGTTATACTACATACAATTCGTTTAGCTACCTAAGTAATGGAATGCCTCACTACGATATTCCCTATAGATATTTTGCTTACTGCAATGTATGCAAAAAGGAACTCCCCACCAATCACAGCGACACGAGTTCGACTGTACTAAATGATAAATGAACTGTGAAGCATGTGCCATGACTAACTACATTACGATGCTTGCGACGATACATCTGACGACCCAATTAGTCTTTCCAAAGAGAGTTGGCACCGCAAACCAAGGATAGAGCCTTACAGTCATGGAACCTATCTTACTTGGAAAATAGCGTACACCTAGAAATATAGCTCTTCCAAGCAAGGCAAAACATTAATGCGTACATATATCTACTTCTTCTCAAGTATGGTGCGCTTTCAGTTGACTTGAGAACGTGAGTCGACGCAAAGAAACTTTCTCTGGTTCGTGGCTGGAGTAAAAGAAAGGTACGCACTTAGATGCCTGGACCTAAAGCATGTGACGCACATGATTCGTGAAGAGTGCAAATGTGCTACGTCTATGTCCGGGATGGAATTTTAATGTGATCTATTAGAGGTTCACGTCGTCCTCGGCATATGTTCAAGTGACTTGTTATCTCAGGTTGATTGCCGAGGTACATTAGGCAGTTCATTTTTCGTTGAGAACCAGCATGCGTCCTCATCGTCGTTTTTAAAAC